AAAAAAAAAGGAAGTTTCGAAGAGTAAAAGGTACAGAAATTTCAGTTGATACCCTAGTCTTTGTTAACCTGAGTTTTCCTTGAAGTTTTCACTGAATTTTCATGGAGTTCCACTCACACAGGGCTCAGTAAGGCATTTGAGTGGAGCTTCTCTCAGAGAGGGCAGGAGTGTTCCCGTAATAAGCCAGAGAGCAGAGGTCAGGACCAACCTAACTTTTGCCCTGCTGTTCAAAGTTCTGAATCTTAAAAGGCCTGGGTGAGCAAGGTCATCGGGCAGATGTTAAGCAACGTCCCTCCACCACAATCTTACTCCTGTTCTCGACCCAGTGCTGAAGTGCTGATTTCAGCAGGAACCAATGGCCCTTTTATAATATTCTTTTTTATTAAATTTTTGAGTTAATGTAGAAAATGTATTAACTACTAAAAAAGCACCTTGCAGAAAGTCCATTTATAATCTGCATTTTGTTTTACAAGGATCTATTTCTAGTGGACTTTTGATTCTATCCTTGCAGAAATACACCCAACTCCTGTCTCCAGTTACGTCTCTGTCTGGACTGGCCCTGGCCTGGGCGTCTCCATCAGCCTCCTTTTCTGCTTCCATTACTATCCTCCTTGCCCTAGAGTTTCATACACAGATGGTCTAGGGCTTATTAGAAACACACAGACCACACATCCCACGGTCCGGATTAAACACAGATGTACAGGGACTCATTCCATTTTTCTAACATCCCCAGGTTCCCCAGTGGAAGACTGAGCCAACTCTTAGTACATTATGTAATGTTTGTCATTTTTCTAATTAAGCACAGGGGCATTTATAGTTCTGATGTCTTTGACATTTTCCCTGGGACGTACCAAACCCTAGAAATGTCTCCCCAAACTCCTGGAATCTGGTTACTCCACTGCCATGTGACCGACCACATTCATGCTGGGATGGAAACCACGTATGCCGTTCTACCCAACGAAGGTAAATATGCAGCTGGAAATTCTGGAAGTCATATTTCATGATACATAAAAGGCCTTTTTGCCTAAATACTCCCCCTAATATGAAGAATTTGTGAATTTTATGCCCTGATTTCTTCCTTCTCTACCTCCAGGCAGGAATTTACACGGCTCAATTCCTGATAGCCAGCACTTGAACAACACATAGGCTCTAAGCTGGTCCCAATCTGATGCAGTATAATTGTCCCTGAAGCTGACATAAGGCATTCACCAAGAAGTGAACCATGATTTATGGGAGACACATTTAGAATTTAATTTCTGTGCAGAGGGTGTAGCTCAGTGGTGGAGCACCTGCTCAGCCTGCACGAGGCCCTCAATTCAGTGCCCAGCACTGCAAAACAAAAGCAAAAGCACAACTTTTAACTTCTTTCTTAAAGGAAAACACTAACTTTTTTCTAAGTAATAGATCATTCTTAAGAGAAGTCTGGGAACCCCCCCCCCCAAAAAAACAACATAATTTCCAACAGCCAATCAGACAGAGGAGCATTCTCTATGCTTCCAGGGAGAGGGGAAGGCATCACTGATTGTGAAAAATGCAGGAGAAAAAGTTAAATCCCCTGTCCCCCAATTCCTGCAGCAATTCCCCTACATGAGTATACACACACACACACACACACACACACACACACACACACACACACACACACACACCACAGCAGGAAACTGAACAGAATTTTAATGTATATACACCAACAAAGTGTACAAAGAGTGAAATTTCTGCCTTATGGCTACAGGCTTTGGTCTTTCCTGGTTCAAAAATGGACATGACAAACTCAACAGGGGGAAATTATGTAAAGAAAACAACTCCGTTTCCTTCTCAAAACCAGGATAAAAGGAAATATATAAATGGTTGAAAATTTAAGTCACTGAAAGATTAATCCTTAGTACAAATGGAGTTTAATTTCTGCTCCAGGATTTTATATCAACACCTTCTGCCATGAAAGTTTCTTCTATGAAAGTTCTTTTTATTATAAAGAGTGTTTAGTAATAATGCAAGAACCCGATAGAAGATAAGCCAATAACTTAAACAAAGCAAAAAGTTAAAAAGGCTGAGAAAAAAAATTATGGTCTTTAAAAAACGCTTGCCTGCCTGTAAACCACACAAAAGAGCATCCCACTGTGATGTCATGCACCTGGAGATGGCTGTTTCCACAAAGGAGAAGTCCTTAGGGAGAGTGTTGTCTGTCCTGTCAGTTACTGTAGTCCAACTCTCCACCCTGAGCAGCACACAGGGACCTCCTGTGACAAATGTAAAAGGTACTTTTCTTACACTGTGACTTTTCCATGATAGATAACCTTTCAGATGCAGATCACAGGTTGAGAAAACTTACTTGGTTTGAAATTCCCTAGACAGGGGCTGGATATTTGTATTGCTAGCCAAGTACCCCAACCTAACACAATAATGTGCTTGGTGACTATTTCACATATTCACAAAATGACACAAAATTTCATGAACTTTCTTTGGACATACAGAAAAGCTGCGGGAGTGGGACAAAGAATTCCCAAACGCCCTTTATCCAGATCCCCAAATGTGAATGCTCTACACAGCTTTATTTCCCAATTTCACCAATCATCCTAACCGTGTTCTTTACAGAACTAGGAACCCCACTCATGCCCCGTACTGTTGCCACTTCCCTGAGGCCCCCCTGACACCTCTCTTACAGGAGCTTCTCAGACCCTGTCTTTCACAATCTTGATGCTTTGGAAGGCCAGAGGGCAGTCAGTGCACCCACCACCCTTCATCTCAGTCTGTCTGGTGCCTCCTGGTGCTTGTGCTGTTGTATTTTTGGTCACCCTGTTACAGAAACTTGCTGTGTTTTCCTCAATGCCCCATATTAGGAGGCACGGGATATTGAGTTGTCACATTATGGGTGAGGTTACCTTTGAAATGACTGGTTAGGGTGTTATCCACCAGGTTTGAGCACAGTCAAGTTACTATTTGTCCCTTTATTATTAATAAGGATCCTGTAGGGAGCAATGTTTCTTTAATTTAATCATTCCTAGAATAAGAGATTTCTAAATATATGAAAAGTAGAAAATATAAACAAATTAAGAATGATTAAGCAAAGTAGTACTTTAAACTTAGAATACATTTAAAGTACCATCTACTAATTTTTTAATCATATAAAATACACTATTTTAAATAATGTCTTAAAATTTCTTTTTCTATAGAAACCAAGTCTGGCTGAAAGAAATAATTTGGTGATAAGTGGAAAAATTTTTAAAAAAAGATTCATAACAATGTATGTGAACATGTTAAATACAACATTACTTTGGAATGGCTATAAACATTAATAAAAGACTGAAAACATAAAATTCTGTGCATCTATGGGGGAAACTGTGTTGCCTGCTACAGATAAAAAAAGATCAACAAAGGCCATTAAGATGTTTAAAAAAAAAAAAAAATCTATGACCAGATAGCTGTCCCGGTGGTCCTCAAAGGATCACATGAAGCATCCCTGACATGTTCCCAACCATCACCTTCCCATCAATGCTGACATCGTTTCTAATGAGCCAGTGGGCATGCAGGTACAAGCTGCAGAAGAACAAGGAAAAATAAAACAAAAATAAAAAGATGCCAATTGGAGTTTTGTTGAACCCTTGAAAAGATGGTCAAGGGGTATTACCTGGAATTGGGAAAGGTGAAGTTGAGAAACAATGCCTATGTCAAATCCAGGTAAAAACAAACTTAATAAAATATTGAAACCTTGCCACCAGGAGAAAAGCTTCAGAACGTGGTTGTGCCAGGCAGTGGGCAAGCAGAACTTCTGTACTGTCTCAACTGGATTCAGTGAACACTCTCAATGAGCTGAACTTGGACTCAAAACTCCTTCACAAGAGGTTAAAAAAGAAGACAGACATGACTATCATGATACAGTGCTTTATTGTTACAAATGCTCCAGCTGCAAGAGCAACAGGAGTATACATCAACAGGAAACAGATACAAGGCTTGGGCTGGAAAGCATGCACTCAACAAATGATGCCAACATCTAGACAGGAAGTGAGGTTTGTGAACATTTACTTCATCTGATGCAGAAAGAAACAGCACAGGATTTAAAAGTAACAAGAAGATAAGAGTTGAAAATCTTTTACAGTGGCAAAACATTTACATCTTCCTCAAGAGAAAATTATTATTATTATTTTTTGAAAGTAACACAATAGAAAAATCTGGAAAATTCCAGAAGATAAAATTTCTGGTGCTCTAAAGTAACATTCAAATAAACTTGTAAAATATTTCCTCGAGTGTTCCTGGGATAGAAAAAGATTGTCATGTCTCCAAGAACAAGAAATTGGTGGTGTTTTCTGGAATAAAAATCAGTATCCACTTTTAAATATGTGGCTTCCTTGAAGAATTCTTGTGTCTTGAAGCTCTTTTACATTCTGGGCAATTAAAGGGATTCAGGTTATAAATTTAGAAATTAGTGGTTACCCACTACATGAAGCACCCTGAAAGAATCTGAGATATATAAAAAATACAAAAAAAAAAAAAAAAAAAAAAAAACCCTTTGCTTGTATCTGTACCTGGCAATAAATTTTTAAAATGCAGCTTCATATGCTACTTTCAAAAGACACTTCAAGTCAGTGATTTTTTGCGACTGCAGTAAAGAAGATAGGGCAAGAAGAATGCAGCAGTACCATCTTCTGGGAGGACATTCAAGAAATCCCTGAGCTCCAGTTCCACAGCAACAATCGAAAGCACTTCTGTTATGGGAAAGAAAACCTGTTAGAATGGAAAGCCCATCTTTAATCTAAGTCTCTTAATCACTCATTCGATTAATCAGAAGCTGGTTCAGGAGACAAAATGTTACAACTACAAAGAGAACAGTCTCCTAAGTCCACAGACGACTTTGTGGTTTTAACAACTTCTAACATCCTTTCTAGACTCCTCTGAAGTTGATTTTATATCAGCCCCATGGGATCTGGAGTTCCTCTTTAATTGCTGGATTACTAGGTTGTTTTTCAATAGGTTCCTATTGTTTTCTAAAGAGAAACGTGACTATCTGAAAATGGCCTGCTGTTAGCACTGTCCTGCAGGAAATATACATCGGATGTTTGCCAGGCAAGGAAACACCATTTCCAGTTGGATACCACTGCCCTAAATCAGTTCCTCTCCATTTTGAGATTGTGACATTATTAATAAGTACAAATGTGCCTTTTTCATAAACTGCAAAGGAAGGTGCTCCAGTGAACATTTTAAACACAAAGGGCTTCTCATCAAGTGTATTTGTAAAGGTAAATGTGTGCTTTTGTGATTGTATTACTAGTTAAAAGATATGCGCTTCCCTCTTCTAGAGAGAAAGGTGATGCTTAGGAGCAGTCTTCCCCATAAATGCCTCCTGGTCTCTGGCCCTGTGCGTACTTCAGGCCATTCCCAAGTGTCCTCGTGTGCCCACTGCTTGCTCTACATAAGAGCTGCTTAGAAGCATCTGCCCAACATTAAGCAATCTTAACCATGGTCACACAGAGGAGCCTCCTGCTGTTTTTGCTGAAAACTCATAAGTGCGGTGGAGCCATGTGGAAGATCCCTAGCTCTGGAATCAGACAGTCAAGGGAAGGAATCCAGATGTCAACTCACCTACTTGGTGAGTGACTTAAAGGGAGTTACTTAATCCTTTGAGTCCTGGTTTCCTCAACTGTAACGTGTTTTTAATTTGTGGTTCCTGGGGCAGTGCTACTGGTATTCAGCAGGCAGGGGCAAGGATGCTGCTGTTTAACATCTTCACGTGCACTGGGGACATCACACAGACAGACAATTGCCCAACCCTCAAAATGCCAAGGCTGGGAAAAGCTGCAGTAGAGAGAAAAATCGGAGCTCCAACACACTCTAGGAGTCCCTGTCCCTACTTGTCAACCTCACTCTCTTGCAGTTTTGCCCAACATTTCACTCTAGAGTGACTCTGGAACTTCTCATCGGTTCCGGGATATTAAAAAACTGGCTTGCTGTGGGTCACTCGCTAAGTGGCACACCTAGAACGCAATTCTAATTTTTCAGACTCAAATCCGGGCCCTTAGTGTGCTTAGCTGCCAACAGGAACACCTCTAAGAAATGGAATGGAAGTTCTTCAGGCACCTCCCCTTCCAATCAATAAATAGCTACAGGATGTTTCCTGTGGGAGAAGCACATTGCTGCTGAGCAGAGTGCACACCATGAAATGCAGACAGAACGCTATGCCGGCTCCGAGGCACTGCAATTCAGTGATGGAAATCACACACAAGAGCACACACACAAACACTGGAGGAACGATTATGGGTAAGTTAGGGAAGAAAGCACATGGATGTGAGCCATAAAGAGGCTTGACTAGATAACACTGTTGCAGAGGTGTGAAAATGGGGGACATCTGCAGGAAAGTGGGAAAGTGACCCACCCACGTGAAAACTATCTTAATTAATAGTGATTAATTATGTGATTAATTTTGATGCAAGTGGGGCAAAGCAATCAGACACCTGCCACTTCCATCTTCTGAAAATCAAAGCAGTCAGGGAGGAAGACAAAGAGTTGGTGGGAGGTAGCCTCCTCCTTCCCCTATCACAAATGTGCAACGTTTACTAAGTGGGATCTTCAGAAAAACAACATCTGATGGCCAATGGCTCTGCCTAATGTTTTAAAAATCTCTTGCCTCAGCTAGAAAACATAATTCCAACACTGTCGATTTCTAATATTTCATGTGCATTACAATCAACATAGACATGACTTCTGTAGTCAGGACAACAAATAACTAGTAACATTAACACACAACAACATAGAAAATGAAAATCATATGTCCGTTAAGATTGATAAATGACTATGTATGAATGATGAACATTCAAATTGACAACCTATGCTGTAAAAAACTGTATGATTTAGACATTCAACTCTTAAACCCTGGAAGAACTCATCCTTCTTCAATACTTAAAATTGTGTTTGTTAATCTTAGCTTCAGACATGAAGTAAATTAAACACTCAGATCATTAATAAAAGATGTAATTGTCTTCATGAAGTTTTGAATTTCTATAACTGTAATAATTTGTTGAGCATTTGAAAAGATTAACTTAAAATACCAGCTCTGTGAGTAGAAGAGAGAAATGAATATCAAATGTGATCCTGGCACACAGATGCTAAAAATAAGCTCTTCAAATGATTCTGCAAGACTTCTTCATCCAACTTGAAAAATTCCCATGAGAAACCTAGATAAAGTATGACTCCAGCAAATTTAAAATTGAAACTAAAGTCTACAATCAAGTCAAAAAAGTACTTTTACCTTTCAGTGAAGTCAGGTAAAGTTGATACTTCTCTCCACCACATTTTATTCTCTGACAAAGCTCAGGCAGCAGTTTTTTCCACCACAGAGTCTATCTTAGAAAAAAATGAATCAATTTTAGTTTGATGCATTTTACACTTAGCTTTCCAATGAGAAAAGACTGTGCAGGAAGGCACAGGGCACCATTACATCATTTGGTTAAGGAACTCAATTTTATGATAAAAGGAGTTATTATCTACAGTCTGTGTTCTGTTTAAACCAAAAAAAAAAAGAGCTTCAAAACTTGATATGCACCCATGCACATGGCTGTTTTCAAGAAGAAGCCTAGACATGTCCTGTTACCATGTCTTAGGTGACAAGGAAGAAGAAAAAATATACTAGAGTCTAAAACTGTTCTAATTTCCAAACTTAAGACTTTATCACTCAGAAAATATTTTCTCATCATGCATTATGTTTCCCAAATCTTCAAGCAATCACCTATTTAATCTCCAAACAAGAGGTTTCCAAAGATGCCAATGCATCATCATCATCCTCCTGCATTTTAATAGCATCTAACAGTATCTAACCCACGCCCTTAAAAACCCAGGTTCACTGGATTCATGCAGCCCTATGAAGTCACAAATGTCCCTGTAATGCAGACACATGGCAACAAGATTATCAACGCACGCTCTCACAATTAAGCCTGAGAACAGAATCCAAAAGCTTATACCCGGTTCTCTTCTTTCAGTTCGTGATTAGCATATGGAATGACCGCCTGTGGGCATCTCTCCAGCAGCATGTCCAAGCACTGCTCATACTCTCTCAGGCGAGTACGACACAGAATGTGGACACTGAGGCCAGCAACAGTGTCTTCCGAGAGTGGCTCCAAGAAGGGAATGATGGAAGCTATGTCAAATGAAGGACCACAGATAAGAGACTAGGAACAGAAAAGCAAAATGTTATGGAGCAAGGCATCCAGACACTAAAACACGACCTATAATTTTTATCAGCTAAGGAATCAGATGATATCTCATTTCCAGTGGAAATACTGTCAGGGCTAGAATTCTCAGAATTCTCTTAAAGAAGAAAATAAAACAACAAACCTCACTTATCATAAAAAGAAGAAGGAGGACGCCATTTAAGAACACATGAATACAGTCCTTATTTAATAAATCTTAGTGGGCTGAAGTGTTAAATATTTTGTATCTGTACCTCCAGTTTAAAGAAATAAAGATCTGTTTAATAGAAAATTATCACTTTTAAAGTAAAATAATTTCATTTATTTGAATGGACAGCAAATTAAGACTGATGGGAATTTTCTAGGACTCTGTCCTAAAGAAATAATTAACAGACAGTTGTTTGCAAAGCATATTCTCAAAACCAAAAAATCACAAGAAATCCAAAAATTCAACAAGGAGGGATGTTAAGTCAATAATGGTACAGTCATGTTGTCAAACTTTAGATAGTCATCAAAATGACGTTTCCAAAGGCTAGTTAAGAAGAAAGTGCTCATGATAAAATGATGAGTAAGAAAACCTCATTTTGAGATTATGCTCAGAACATGCCCAGCTCTGTACTATCCACACAGGTATATGCAGCATGGAAATATCTCTGCACGGCCCTGCACCAAAACGCACATCAGCTAATTGGATGGGAAGGCAAAGCTTACTTTCTGTTCTCTTTTCATAATTCCCTGCATTTTCCAAATTTTCTATAATGAGGATACACTAAAATAATAAGTTTTAACATAAAGCTAAATCAAATTTAGTATAAAATTTAATATAAAAAAGCTAAAGCACTTATTTAGAACTTGGTCATTTAAATCGACACCATTTGCAAAAAAATAAAAAATAAAATAAATAAATCGACACCATTTGCAAAAAAAATTAAAAATAAAATAAATAAATTGACACCATTTGCCACAAGCTAAATGTCAGGAAGCATGTATTTCAGTATTGAGAACTCTACTAGGATATTATTATTCAGCAACTTTAGCAGTATTTTACTTTTTAAATGTGTAAGTATTTTTATTGTACCACCAAGATAATCTTCATTTCCCCATCTTCTATAAGAGAAATAGTCATGTCTTGATTTCTCCTCCCTGTATCTTTTTTTTGCTACAGCATCTTCTCAGAGTTATGAGAGAATATGGAATGTGAACTATCTGTTCACAGTTAGCATGATTATTTTATTCCAAATATCTACCAAAGAATGACCAGGAAAATAAGGTTGGTATCTTTTCTTCTGCAAGTTTAATAAATAATTCATTTGAATAATTTCCTAACAATAAAATGGCAAAGATGA